GGTTCCTGCTTCCTCCCGCTCATTCCCATATCCCCTTCTCTTCCCCATCCCCTCCTCCTTCCTCTCCCCCCGCTTCATTCCACCCCCCCTTTCCCACTGCCTCTTCTCCGCACACCCCCCTCCACCCCAGTGGGCACTCATGGTTGTAGAGGAAATGGGCAGGCACTAGGACCCAGGAGGCATGCCCATCTGCTGGTGGAGGAACAGGAGCACAGAGGGAAAGTGCCGGCGGAAGGGGAGGGGGCAGGAGGGGAAGTGCAGCATGGAAATGACAAAGCCACCTTCTCCCCTACTCCAGGCCGAATAGAGCAAGCCCTGCAGGGCAGCTCAATGCTTGCAGAAATGGGGGGAGGGGTGCATGACCTCTCCCCCCATGCCTCCCCTCTGTCTGGGGGGGCAATGCCCCCTGGCACCACCCAAACTATGCCTATGACTGTAAGGCTAGATGAAAGCCATTTTGCGGTCAAATAAAATGAAAACTTGAAATAAAGTGATTAACTACAGACTTTAACTTTTCCTCAGGCTGCAGTTCAGGACTCATACCCATACCAAGAATAGAGGCTCAAAGCACAGTACAGAACATAGAATTTCAAACTGCTGAGTGAAATTGCTTATGATTATTCCACTTCCCATCATCCTGCATCTTCAGGGTAGGTAAAAACAATATAGAAGACAAAGAAAAGATAGTCACACAAGTACTTGCAACACTTTTGCTTTCCATGACTATTGTGAACAGAATTTCTCTCCGATCAATCAGTGAAGTTGCAAGCTGCAACAAAAGAACTCTGCTGTGCATTTGAGAAAATGTTTGAGAATACTTTTGGGCAGTATCTACTGATTTTTAAGCTTAGCTCCTGGCAATCCCCATTGTCATCACGTTCTACTTGATCCCTACCTTTGGGCCACTGCATCCTAGAATTCCTGGACCTCCAGGAGGACCAATGTTTCCTGGTTCACCCTAAACAAGTTCAAAATTGACAGTTTTGTTATTGAACATTTATATTTTCCTGTAACTACACTGAAATAGTTTATGTGGATACAGTATGGTGAATAAGAATTGCTGATACCAAGATTGTTATCTCTAGGTTAATTGATAGAGACAATGCTGAAATTGACACTGGGTTGGGGAATACTGAGATGCCGTATAAGTAGAGGACTTGGTTTATCTTGTTTTATTTTACTTACTGGAAGACCTGGGAGACCTGAAAAACCAGGTAATCCTAGCATTCCCTAATGATACAAAAAGAAACAGAGAAAGAATAATTCAAATTAATAGGAAAAATGCATGCAGTGCATTTTTTTACTCCATTTTTAAGAACAATAAGCATTAACAGAAGGTAGTCTATCAGGGGATTTTCATTTGACTACTACATTTTACCTAACCAACTATTCCATGGGCACACCTCATATGACTGTAAACTGTTACATGGAGATTAACAGATTTTAAGGCCAGAGCGACCATTATGATCTAGTCTGACTCCTACATAAAACAGGCCAATGCTTCATAAACACATGCATGAAATCTCATATATGCAACACAGCAAATTGAAAAACAGCAGCTACAGTTCTAAAAAAGGAAAAAATGGGAGTTCAGTGCCACATCTTTCAAAAATATAGTAACATAATATAGTGTTTTTATTTGATTTTATAGAAAAGGCAGTTATTAAATCACTTTAATAATAAAAAGGATACATAATACATTAAAAGTTTGCTTAAATATATATTTACCCTTTCACCTTTGGGTCCGACTAAACCTATCTGCCCTGGAAAACCCTAAACACCAAACAGAAAAAAAGCATGTATTAAGTCTTTGTGCAATGTTTATAATGCCAAGATCAGAACATACCACTCATTTATTTTGTTTATTTATATTGTTCACATCTTGTGCATTACAGAAATTAACATGAACAAAAATTCACAACAGTCCGCACAAACCCCAGCCTCTACCATACCCGCCGATTATTCAAAAGGTATTCATCCCATTACAGGCCCAACAAAAATCAACAGTGCTATTTAGGGAGGTGGTCACTGAGAGAGAGTTAAGTCTCAAGTCATTTAGGGTTTTATAGACAATAACCAGCACCTTCCATTGCACCCAGAAGGGAACTGAAAGACTGCAGAGGCTAGAATACTGGAGTATGTGTGTTTATACATTACTTTGAGGCCTTAAAGTATAAGTAAACAGAATGCATTACAACAGTCCACCCAGGGGATAGCAAAGGAATGCATAACTGAGGAGAGGTCCATGTTGGATAGGACCATCCTTATTCACAAACATACCTACTGGAGTAAAAATTTGTACTTTTGAGTCATTTCCCCTTTGATAAAAGTATATTTGTTCCACTTAACATTTTTTTAACCAGTTGAACAAAATACCTTTACAACATTCTTGTAAACACAGCATGGATTTATACCAAATATTGAAACAGTATCCAAACAAAAATTACAAGCAGGATTTATTTACACAAAGAGTAATTTGTCGTTTGAGGAGGTGATTTCCTGATAACGGAACTCTTTGTCTGAGACAAATTTGAATAAAATAAATTTGTAATAAACGAATTAAATAATTGCAAATGTTTCTTTCCACTCTTCCAGGACACAGTGCAAATCCCTATGCAGCTTGACAGTTCCTACGAATTAATGAGAAGAGATCATTGCAGAGGCTTCCTTCTTCTCCTTTTTCCCCTTTTCTTTTGTTTTATTATTTGTCACAGCACCAATTTGGTTTTATCCATTTCTAATGATGATAAACATAGTTCTTGGATAGCAAATTGTTAAGAAATCACTCCACATCACAATCTGTGGCTCAAGGTTATTGTCTTTGTCCTGTATGGATAGTCTTTACACACACATTGCTCTATTGAGTTGAAAATAAAATTAAAATATTACGTATAAAAACATTCTGTTTCAATGACAAGCTGCAATAATGCCAACTGTAAATATAGAGGGCGAAATTTAGAGGTGATGTGTAAGAGGATGACATTAGATGCAATAGATGCTATTGTGGTATTCGGGCAATGTGTCCATACAACTTATGAATTCTGGTTAATATTGTGAAGTTGTCGTTATGAAAATTATTGTATCATGGAATGAATGCCTCTATCCACCATGGGCTGACAGGACCTGTAGCAAACACATACCAAACTAAGCACAATGGAGAGTACTTAACTTTAATGACTGCACTCTGACCTATAAGCCTCCTCCAGCTTGTCTGTTTCAGGTGGCATATAGAGACTCACAGGGCCACAAAAGAAGCTTTGAGGAGGAGGAAGGAAGGGGACGGACCAGCCAAGGTCAGAGAAGCCTAGCCGGGGAGAGAAGGCTCCATGTTTCAGAACACAAGCCGTGCACTGCAGCAGAAAGATCCTGGATGCCCCAGATCACTATGACCAGAGCCCAAAGAATGTGCTGGAGTGGTGAGGAAACTGAAGCAGGGAAACTCATGTAGGGTTTATTGTTTTGGTATAGACCTGTGTATTTCTCATGCAGTTAAGTGCAATGGTGTTAGAATCCTGTGCAAAGCTTGTGTGCGTTGTATGTGTAACACCTACCATGTATCCCTTGAAGTGCTAAACTGTGGGTTCAGAACTCCGGAGGGCTGAATCTTTGGGAAAGGGCATGTTTAAACTACAAGGGAGTCTGAGTGGTTAGCTCTGATTCGAGGGGCTTAGCAGTGGGCTGTGTGGTTGCATCTCTCAGGATAGGGTGCTAGACAAAGGATCTGTACCCCAAGAGTGTGTCCAGAGGCCTCAAGACCGGAACAGTATATGGGTTCTGTTCAGAATCTGGAAGCTTAAACACACACAGGATCTTGTGGCTGGACCCCTCTCTCAGCAGTCTGGCGAATGTCCAGCAGCGGGAACTTGACTGGACCTGTGACAGCCATCATGCTGTTGTAAACTCCCGTACACTCAGGACTTCTTTATATCTCTTTAAACCTCTTAAAGTTGTGTAAGTTGAACTTACACAATGAGGAGCTGGAAGAAGGTTTAAGTCCCAGCAGGAGATGATCTACTTCAACAGAGACATTATGGCACATTCCTGTTAGTTGTTTTGCTACATCCCTCTCTGCTAGCCTCTTGGCATGAATTTTACTTACTTTACACCTGACATGATGGAGGAAGTGTATAAAAAAGCCCATGCTGGTATACGGGAGAATCCAGTCCATGAAAAGAAACCCAAGAGAGAAGGAGCCTGATCAATCAATTAATTAAATAAATAAATAATCAATCCCCTCATAGAAAGTTTTGACAAAAAAAATACCCTTTGATTGACATTTTCCACAGATAGTTGAGTTTTCTGCCAAGAACTCAAAACCCAAAAGTTTTGAGCAGAAAAGCTACAGATTCCATAGAAAGCAGTCACTTCTTGCAAAAAAAAAAAAAAAAAAATGTTCAGTATAGAAAACCAAATTTTCTGTCAAAACACAGCTTTGATGGAAAATTTCAGCCAAGCCATATCCCTCTATTACACCCAGGATATGTCTACACTGAAAAACAAAAACAAAATCCAGCAGCAGCAAGTCTCAAAATCTGGGTCAACTGACTTGGGGTCTCAGGGTTTGCACCATGGGTCTAAAAATAGCAGTACAGGCATTCCCACTTGGACTGGAGTCCAGGCTCCGAGACCCTCCCCTATTGCAGGGTTTCAGAGCCCGGGCTCCAGTCTGAGTGGGAACATCTACACTGCTATCTTTAGACCCACAAGTGAATCCCATGAATTGACTGAGCTCAGAGACTTGCTGCTGCGGGGTTTTTTGCAATGTAGACGTACCCTCACTATGCGAAATTCAGAGGTGATGTATGCAGTGGGGACATGTAAATGATACAGTGGTGCAGTCAGCGGGTGAGAATCAAAGGGCTTGTCTAGACTTAAAACGCTGCAGCTGAGTCACAGGTGCCGGCTTCCTCTAGGTCCTGGGGGTGCTCAACCCCCCTGCTCCTCCCCAGGCCCTGCCCCAACCCAACCCCTTCCCACAAGCACCCCACACTGCTCTGTCTCTTCCCGCTCCCACTCCACCCCTGCTTCTTCCCATCCAGTTCCAACCCCTCCCCCAAGCATGTTGTAGAGGGGTGGTCACCCAACTACAGCCTCAGCAAGGGTTAAAAGCCAGCCCTTGGAAAGGGCTGGGGCTAAGAGCCAATCAGAAAAGGCTGAGAGGCAGCCCATCAGGGCCAGGCTGGGCCCTATAAAAGGGCTGCAGGGCCAGAAGGCAAAGAGTCTCTCTCTCTCTCTCTCGAAGGGCCTAGCTGCTGGGAGCAGGCCACTGGACAGAGCAGTGCTGGGGAAAGGCAAGAGGAGCTGGGGAGCTCCAGCCTGGCAAATCCCCAGGCTGCAGGCCTTGTTAAAGGCCAAAGCAGGTACTGGAGTTGCAGAGGTGCATCCCGGGTCCGCTGGTCCAACCCCCCCTTGCCAATGATGAGTGGCCATTACACTGCAGTCTGCTCTAGTGAACGGGAGCTAGATGATGACTGACAGTAGCCACTGAGGCGAGATGGGCTTAAAGGGTTGGGGGTTCCTCTGGGAGGGGAGACCCAGAGTGTGGGGGTACTGCAAGGCAGAACCCCGAGGTAAAGGGCACCGGGGTCCGGGAGGGACACGGGGCCTAAGGCAGGCGAGACACCGGCCAGAAGCAGGCACTCCATAAGCTGGAGAGCTAATTCCTGAGATGACCAGCAGGAGGCACCACACCAGTGAGTCTCGACCTTGCTACACATGCCCTGTCACTGCTCCTCCCCCTTCCCCCCCCCCCTCAGCGCCTCCTGCACACAACAGAACAACTGATTGCAACGGTCAGGAGGAGCTGGGAAGGGGGGGAAGCTGGAGCACCCACGGAGTAGGCACCTATGAGCTGAGCTGCGGTAGTACTTCAGTGTAGACCCTACTAATGCTGATGAGGTTCTCCCGTCAGAGTAGGTAATCTACCTTCCTGAGAGGTGGTAACAAAGTTGATGGAAGAATTCTTCCATTGACCTAGTGCTGTCTACACGGGGACTTAGGCTGGCTTAACTACATCACTTGGCATGTGGATTTTTCACACCT